ATTGCGCTCTTTTGAGCTGCCAGAACAGCTTCATCGTCCTTTGGGGCAGCAAACCTAGAGCTAGCTGAGATCTTGGATGATGATGCGGCAGTGGTCGTGGTGCTGCTTGAACCATCGAGAGATTTAGAGCCGCCGTCTATGCTGCCATCGAGCTTAGGAAGCAACTGGGTGGAGTTATTTAAGAAGTCTTGGTATTGCTCCTCCGTAATTTGTGAAAGAAACTCCTCTATTTGCCTGTCTATTTCACTTGAGATGTCAGAGACAGAGACAGCCATTGTTGGGAAGATAATGTTATTTTTCAAACTGTTATAGTGCGCTGTTGCTACGCGCAAAAGCTACCATGGGAATGCATTGCTGTTGCTAACTGTTGCTAAGTAAACTATTTGTTTATTTTAGTACATGGTAGAAGTTGGTTATACAACTCTGTGTCGGTATCTATGGCCTTATCATACCTCGGGCCTACGGCCCTCGGTATGATAAATGCCATAGATACCTCCACCTCGTTGTATAACCTTTACAAATAAGTTGATTTGTATTTTTCTTTCTTCTCTCTCCTTTCATTCCACATCACTCTTTTCTTCTCTTCTCTCTATCTCTTACTTGACACTATAAACTATCTTCTTCTTACAGCACATCCCAATCACCACACATACCAATATCATGTTGACAAATAAAGAGATACCCAGTATTGGTAGAGATATGTATAAAGTTGATGTGTTCATGCATTCATCGCTTGATGCAGAGGTAGGAGATGAAGTACCTAAATTTAGAAAATAAAATTAATGTTATTTCACATGCTTTCTATTCATTATAATGCTCTGAATAAATCTATAAAGTACATGTCTATGTTGTTGTTCAAATCTGTACATACATATTAAAACCAAAACTACATACAGTAAAGTAAACATTATTATTAATGGTAAACATTTACTTATTGCTTCTGTGTAAGAATAGGAAGACAGGTCCACTGTTGGTAGCTCTGTAACTATAATATTTTAGCATTTGACAGTTAAAGCACTACTTTACCTGTTGGTGCAGTTCTAGGTCCTTTGTAATAAATTCCATTTATTTCTATACTCACTGACATCTCGAGTGAGAAGCTGAGGCATGAGCACAGCCCTAATATGATACTTTGATTTGTTTCATTGCTAACATTGATTGAATCAACATTACACCCACTGCTGTAATAGACAGTGTAGTAACTGGCCCCTGGAATGGGTAGCCAATTCATTTGTACAGCAGTTGAGTTGAGATGTATGACAGTGAAATTACTAATTTTTGCTATAAAGTAAATAATGTTAGATCTATAGTTGTGACTTTACAATTGAACATTACCTATATCTATGACATTAGTTGATACAATTTTATCAATCCATTCTCCTGGTCCAATACTAGTATATGCTCTCACTCCAATAGTATAACTAGTATTAGGTATCAATCCTACTATACTGTAATAAGTGTTAGTAGTGTTAGTTATATTGTATGGGCCAGTACTGGTAGACTCTCTATATCTTATCTCATATACTGTAATGATACCATTAGGCATTGTAGGAGGATTCCAGGATATACTGATCTCAGTTAATGTAGCATTTGTTTGTATTAGATCAGATATCACACCAGGAACTGTGTTATAGATCATGTTACACTGATTAAAATCTCATGTTGACTTACTTGATTCTCCAAAGGTAAATTGTATTTCTTGTCTAGCTGGTCCATTCATATTATAATTATAAGGTATTATACTGACAGTATAGTTAGTATATGGTATTAATCCTGTGAGATTATACATTCTGTTGTCTCCTCCAGTGATATTAACAGTATAACTAGTGTTTGAAGTGATGTTAGTGTATGTGAGGTAGTATCCAGTGATTGGTCCATTCCTTCCATTGCAAGGTACTTCATCCCATGAGACAGTCATTGACACTGACTCTACTGATGAGAATGTAATATCACCTACTGGTGCAGTAGGAGCTATAGGAGAAAATTAATATAAATGAACACTAGGGTTTTTTTTACCAGAAGGCAGTGTAATAGCTGAATAATTAGTCAAATAAGCTATCTCAACTCCATATATTCCAATAAGATCAAAGTCACACTGACTGTAAGGAGGTATATCAGTTGAAGTATGTGGTGATGAAACTGATGTCTCATTATAGATATCTAATGAGTCACATGCTCTACTACATCTCCAGTGGATATAATAACTAATTGGTACTACAGCAGTTGGTGGACTCCATTTTAATGTAATGGAAGAAGCTGTACTTTTAGTAGCTATAAAGTCATTAACTACCGGATCACCTGAAATACAAAAACAATATTTTATTTTTCTAAGCTATATAACTTACTGAATGTTTCCATTACTGAAGCATTACCACTAGGCAGAAAAGCTGATCCATAAGATACTACATAAAAAGTGTATGTAATCCCTCGAATCAATCCTGATGTTATATTGATTGTTGTATAACTAGTGTTGGATACACTAACAGGAGTATCACTAGACAGTTGATAGTAGACCTCATAACCAGTAGCTCCTGATACAGTAGACCAGGAGAGTCTTACATGAGCTAAACCAGTACTTAATCTTGTAGCAGTTAAACCAGTTGGAGTATCAGATACTGAATTAAACTAATAATAATTATTGATAATAATCACCAACCTGATATATTCAATGATGAAGTACTATTAACTGCTGTAACACCACTAATATTACCAGTAGTTACTCTGATATTAGATACAGTACACTGATAGTTATCAGCTTCTCTCAGTCTCACTGTTACTGTCACTCTTGTAACAGATCCTGGTCCATTCACTATCACACGAGACAGTTCAGTAGATATTCCATTCCCATTCACTGAACAACTGACAGTAGTAGGAGGACCATCAGAGACATTGAAACTGAGACTGAAGACTGGAGGAGTAGCTAATCTACTAGTGGAGAGGAGAGAGAACTGCATAGTAGGATCAGCATCAGGACCATCTGTAAAAGAAGCACATTAATTATAGTCTATATTCATCACATACCATTGTTATTGTATCCAGTATCAGTATATGCTCCAACCACTAGTGTTTGATCCACTCCATTCTCATCAGGAATGATACACTTGTATAAACCTTCATATCCTGATAGTCCATTTCTTCTAGCTAGTGCAATCTGACCACTGAATCTCTTACTAAACACTGGTCTGGGAGCTGATGAATTAGTAAAGTTTCCATCAAATAAAGGTACTTCAGTTCCATTAGGGTAATACCACACTCCAATATTAGTACTAGTGTTAGCACTCTGACACCATAAAGCATCATTGACATTGCCAGCATCATTATTCTCATCAGTATCATAAAACTGGCTAGCATATATCATAGAGTAATCAGGTATTACCCTGTCCTCATAAGGTAGATACAGTTGAGTGCCTGTATCAGGTTAGTCTAATACTGCAATAGTTAAGTTTATATTCTTACCATTACTAGGCAGGTTATTAGGTTGTTGTCCTTCAACTCTCAACAGGAGGAAGCCAGCAAAAAAAAGCAATGCCCTCAACATCTTCACAGAATAGACAAAACAAAATATAAACTGACAACAGTATTCAATTTTATGTTTAGTGTATAGCAGTGCCTGTTTGTTTATTATTGCTATCTCACATGTGAAAATATAGGGTGTGTTGAAGGCAATGCCAGCATATGTTTCATTTACAAAACCTGTACATTCAGTTTGATACTGGTAGTAGTCATTTACTATTATGCCCAAACATGAACTGTCTTGTGACCATTACAGCATTGACTCATCATACACTGATAGTGTGCTTATAGCATAAATAAATGAATGTATCATAATACAAAAGTATTTCCCAAGAAAGCACTACAGTGAAAAAGGATCTGATGCAAATAAAGACTGTAAAAATGAACACACATGTATATACACTCCATAATGTAATAACACATCCACATGTACATGTACATGTATGACTCACACACACACACACACCAAATGTTAAGTTCATGCATACAATCCTAATCGATACTAGATCTAAAATACTTGTAAATTGTATATGAAATGAGGCTAATTTAAATAATTGTTTTTATTAATTTTCTTGCTCTGCTTCTACAGTGTAGTCATTCTGTGGAGGTTCAAGTGATGCCAAGTCCAAAGGTGATTCATATATAGCATCTTGTGGATTTTGAACTACTGGGGGACTGTTATGTTAGAATTATTAATTGAAATAATTTTATTTTAATTTACTTACTCTAGGACAGCATAGTCATGTTCTACATTATTCTTTAATTTGATGGATCTGAAATACACAATATAAGAAAAATTAAATTGATTTGTATTTTTCTTTCTTCTCTCTCCTCTCATTCCACATCACTCTTTTCTTCTCTTCTCTCTATCTCTTACTTGACACTATAAACTATCTTCTTCTTACAGCACATCACAATTACCACACATACCAATATCATGTTAATAAATAAAGAGATACCCAGTATTGGTAGGAATATGTATAAAGTTGATGTGTTCGTGCATTCATCACTTGAAGCAGAGGTAGGAGATGAAGTACCTAAATTTAGAAAATTAATGTTATTTCACAGTGCTTTCTATTCATTATATTGCTCTCTATAAATCTATAAGGTTCATGTCTATGTTGTTGTTCAATTGTGTACATACATATTAAAACCAAAACCACATACAGTAAGGTAAACATTATTATTAACAGTAAACATTTACTTATTGCTTCTGTGTAAGAATAGGAAGACAATTCCACTTCCACTGTCGGTAGCTCTATAACTATAATAATTATTTTAGCATTTGACAGTTAAAGGATTGCTTTACCTGTTGGTGCAGTTCTAGGTCCTTCATAATAAATTTCATTTATTTCTATAGTCATTGAGATCTCAAATGAATAACTGAGGCATGAGTATAACTCTGGTATAATAACTTCATTTGTTTCATTGCTAACACTCATTGAGTCAACATCACACCCACTGCTGTAATAGATAGTGTAGTAACTGGCCCCTGGAATAAGTAGCCAATTCATTTGTACAGTAGTTGAGTTGAGATGCATGACAGTGAAATTATTAATTTTTGCTATGAAAGTAAATAATGTTAGATTAGTTGATACAATTTTATCAGTCCATTCTCCTGGTCCAATACTAGTATATGCTCTCACTCCAATAGTATAACTAGTATTAGGTATCAATCCTACTATACTGTAATAAGTGTTAGTAGTGTTAGTTATATTGTATAGACCAGTACTGGTAGACTCTCTATATCTTATCTCATATACTGTAATGATACCATTAGATATTGTAGGAGGATTCCATGAGATACTGATATTTGATAATGTAACATTTGCTTTCATCAGATCAGATATTACACCAGGAACTGTGTTAGGATCATGTTAAACTGATCAATATCTCATTGACTTACTTGATTCATAAGTTAATTGTATTTCTTGTCTAGCTGGTCCATTCATATTATAATTATAAGGTAATATACTGACAGTATAGTTAGTATATGGTATTAATCCTGTGAGATTATACATTCTGTTGTCTCCTCTAGTGATATTAACAGTATAACTAGTGTTTGAAGTGATGTTAGTGTATGTGAGGTAGTATCCAGTGATTGGTCCATTCCTTCCATTGCAAGGTACTTCATCCCATGAGACAGTCATTGACACTGACTCTACTGATGAGAATATAATATCATCCACTGCTACTGGTGCAGTTGGGGCTATTAAAAAAATAATAATAAAAACAGCTGGATTTTTTTTACCAGAAGACAGTGTAATAACTGAATAATTAGTAGTCAAATCAGCTATCTCAAATCCATAATCAGCTATCTCAGATCCATATACTCCAATAAGATCAAAGCCACATTGACTGTAAGGAGGTATACCAGTTGAAGTATGTGGTGATGAAACTGATGTTTCATTATCACTAGTGACTGATGATTCACATACTCTCCTACATCTCCTATTAATACTATAACTAATTGGTACTACAGCAGTTGGTGGGCTCCATGTTAAAGTAATGGCAGAAGCTGTAATTAGACTAGCTATAAAATCATTAACTTCTGGTTCACCTAAACACAAAATTATTGACAATTTTTTGTTATAGACTAATAGATCTAACTTACTAAGTGTTAACATAACTGTAGCATTACCACTAGGTAGAGAAGCTGATTCATAAGATACTACATAGAAAGTGTATGTATTCCCTTGAAATAATCCTAATGTTATATTGGTTGTTGTTGCGAAAGCAGTAGTGCCTACACTAACAGGAGTGTTTCTAGACAGTTGATAGTAGACCTCATAACCAGTAGCTCCTGATACAGTAGACCAGGAGAGTCTTACATCAGCTAAACCAGTATTTAATCTTGTAGCAGTTAAACCAGTTGGAGTATCAGATGCTGAAAATATATAAATAATTATTATTATTGATAATAATCACCAACCTGATACATTCAATGATGAAGTACTATTAACTGCTGTTACACCACTAATAGTACCATTAGTGACTCTGTCATTTGATACAGTACACTGATAGTTACCAACTTCGGTTAAGTTTGCTACTGTCACTCTTGTAACAGATCCTGATCCATTCACTATCACACGAGACAGTTCAGTAGATATTCCATTCCCATTCACTGAACAACTGACAGTAGTAGGAGGACCATCAGAGACATTGAAACTGAGACTGAAGACTGGAGGAGTAGCTAATCTACTAGTGGAGAGGAGAGAGAACTGCATAGTAGGATCAGCATCAGGACCATCTGTAAAAGAAGCACATCAATTATAGTCTATATTCATCACATACCATTGTTATTGTATCCAGTATCAGTATATGCTCCAACCACTAGTGTTTGATTCACTCCATTCTCATCAGGAATGATACACTTGTATAAACCTTCATATCCTGATAGTCCATCTCTTCTAGCCAATGCAATCTGACCACTGAATCTCTTACTGAACAACGGACTAGGAGCTGATGGATCATCAAAGTTTTCATCAAATAAAGGTACTTCAGTTCCATTAGGATAATACCACACTCCAATATTAGTACCATTGTTAGCACTCTGACACCACAAAGCATCATTGATATTGTTAGCATCATTACGTTGATCAACATTATAAAACTGGCTAGCATATATCATAGAGTAATCAGATATTATTCTGCCCTCATAAGGTAGATACACTTGAACACCTACATCAGGTGAGTAACCAATAGAATTAGAAGCCATTAAGTTTATATTCTTACCATTACTAGGCAGGTTATTAGGTTGTTGTCCTTCAACTCTCAACAGGAGGAAGCCAGCAAGAAGAAGCAATGCCCTCAACATCTTCACAGGAGAAATAGTATACACAGAAAGGTATCAACATGCAAATACTTGGTAAATAACAACTCACATGAGGAAACACACAGACATATATGTGTTGTTGTTTAACTCACTTACCCATTTCCTTTATAAAACTTATACATTCACTTATACATTCAGTTTGATGGTACATCGCTTATACTAATTTTCCTAAAGGATACTACTTTTTGGATCTAGGGCAGTTCTGTTTCACAAGGTAATGCACTGATGCAAGCAAAGATTTAATTGTACATGAAAAATAGCTGTAGATAATAATAGTACACACAACTTTATATTAGCTACTTGCGATCTAATGATGTACGTATACCATGGAGTTTTATTAATAAAATTTATCATTGTTGATTTTCTTGCTCTGCCATTACTCTATAGTGGGTGGGTGGAGGTTGAATTCTCGGTTGAAGTTCAAATGATGACAATTCCAAGGGAGAATCGTATATGACTTCTTGTGGATTTTGAATTACTGGGGGCCTGTTGTGATAGTATTATTATGTAGTGATTTTTATCATGTTTATTCTTTATACACTTACTCGATGACAGCATAGTTGTGTACTGGATCCTTCTTTAATTTGATGGGCCTTATAGTACCAGTAGCACTGAAAAAGTGAAAATATACCAAAAATTAAGCTGATTTGTATTCTTTTCTTCTCTTTGTTTCTTTCTCTCTTATTCCCCCTCACTCTTCTCTTCTCTCTATCTCTTACTTGACATTATAAGTAATCTTCTTCTTCTTACAGCACATTCCAATCATCACACATACAAATATCATGTTGATAAATAAAGAGATACCCAGTAGTGGTGGACATACGTACAAAGTTGATATGTTTATGAATTCATCACTAACAACACCACTCTGTGTTGAAGTAGGAGATGTCATAGCTAAAGTAAGAAATATTACATATCACTCTACAGTGCCTGCTATTTGTATAACAACAAAAATGATTTGCTTTTAGTGGCTTTTATTTTGATTCGCCTTATACAAAATGGATGTTTTTATGATGCTTTTTCATATAGAATCTAATAGGAATTGAAAGTGCAAATGTTGTTGCCAATTTGTACATTCAACAACCACACATTAAAACTGAAAGCACAGTAATGTAAATGTTATCTTTATTAACACATTTGTAATTATACTTATTGTTTTACTGTAAGTTGAAGTGTAAGTTGAAGAAGGATTCACTGTTGGTGCATCTTCTGTACAAATAACTAAAATATTTGATTAGTTAAATATTGTATATTTTAACATTACTTTACCTCTTGGTTCAGTTCTAGGTCCTTCATAATAAATTCCATTTATTTCTATAGCCCCTGACATCTCAAATGAATAGCTAAGGCATGAGTATAGTCCTAATATAACACTTTGATTTGTTTCATTGCTAACGTTCATTGAATTAACATCCCACCCACTGCTGTAATAGATAGTGTAGTAACTGGCCCCTGGAATGGGTAGCCAATTTATCTGTACAGAAGATAGGTTGAGATGCACAAGAGTAGAATTGCTAATACTTGCTATGAAAATAGTGTATTATAATGCTGTAAATTTTAACAAAAAATTACCTATTTCATCAGTTGAGAAGATTTCTGCAGCCCATTCTCCTGGTCCAATACTAGTATATGCTCTCACTCCAATAGTATAACTAGTATTAGGTATCATTCCTACTATACTGTAATAAGTGTTAGTAGTGTTAGTTATATTGTA